AGTGTCTTGGGGCCCTTAATGTTGAATGGTGATGTGAATTATTTTTGTTCACTACATTGAAACGAAGCCAGTTGCGGGGTCTACATTTACTCCCTCGACCGTCCAATGTGCCCTTGTCCTACTTAACTTATCGAAATCGAAATAGTAATTGTGACATTTGTTTTTAAATTGAAATTGTCACGAACTAATATCATAATGATTCTTTTTTTAAGATCTAGATGGTTATTTTGAGAACAACTAATGTCTCAGTTCAAGGCTAGATCAGATTGGGTTGATCTTCCCAGAGTGCCACAACAACCAAGAGGGACAGAGTGTGGATATTATACGATGTGATTTATGTGGCTCATCGTTTTTTTGTGTGCTCAGTCTTCAATATACCGTTATCCGACGTCAGTTAGTTTTTGTGTGTTTTTGTACATACTTTGTCTTCTTTATAATTATTTAAGATTTATCATTGTATGTTGATAGAATTTAGAATTGGGTAGGGATAACTGGATTGAGACAATAAGATATTTGGGTTGAACCATATTAAAAGATTGAATTCAATCGATTAGTTAGTTTAATTCAAGAGCTTATATACCGATTTTTTTGCTCTTGAACTTCCGATGGGGGATGACACTCTAACATATGTCTTCATTTTTGTTGTAGCTGCTTCATTCTACCGCGCCATACACGAAAGCCGAATTAGATGAGATTCGTGAGTTTTGGTCCGGTAGTTTCCTTGACGAATTAGTTTAAGTTTCATATGTTTAATTTGTATTGAGTTGTATGACTTCTTTTTTAAAATGAATATATAGTTTAGTTATTATATTGTGGTGCTATAATATGAGTAGTTTGTTAAAAATTATGTTATTTTGGTTTTGATTTATTGTTATGAGGCTCTTTTGTTTTGTTTTGATATGTTTTGGGTTCTTCTGTTTTATTGCAATTTCAAAACGAATTAAAGTAGAATGCTGCGTAACGAATGATTTTGAAATTCATTCCATATCCATATCTCATCATTTTCATAAGTGTGACCAGTGATAAATGTTGGTAGTATCTCGAACCGTGAAGGATATATCAAGCCTACCTAACACAAAGTTGTGTTATTATTTCTAAGAAAAGTAATTGGAGATTGCCAAGACAAATACAAATATCCAAAGTTCGTGTTATGTATATCTATTTTTACTTTGATATTTCCCTATCATCTATCCATTTTTTACTGCGGAAAGTTACTCCTCTTTACGAGCTACTGACACAATATTTTACAGGCCCAACCTCGTATTCCCTTCCCAGGGCCTGCCTGCCCTCCTCTGCAAAAAATAGATGTCATATCCTCATTCATCTCATTGGCACGTGCACACACCAACCCTTCATTACGCGCGTGGGCTTTCCGCCCACCTTTGATTTTACAGTTTCCTACTCCACTTTCTCGCCCCCTTTTTTGCTCATTCGTCCCGATTCCGCACGGTAAATTTGATTTTTTCTAATGAAATTTATGGTATGTTTGGGAACATGGATTTGGATTTCAAATCCGGATTTGGCTTAAATTCCATGTTTGGAAAACTTAAGCATTTTAAATTTGGATTTGAATCAAATTCTTTACATTCAAAACAAAGCTTAATTTGAAATCCATGCACCTCCCCTTGTCATTTGAAATTCAGGATTTCAAATTTTGGAATTGAAATGCATGAATTGAAATGAAATGCTAGTTGCCAAACACTACCTTAGTGGAAATGAATCTCGAATTCATTCCAAATTCAAGTTGGAGCCCATTCGTGCATGAAAATTACACGTACTCAGTTTATAAAAAAAGGGACCATGCTACATTTACACTAAATTTATATATCAATATTTTGATGGTTCACATTGACACAAAGTGTTGATGCGTTAACAAAAATTAATACTACACCAACACAAAATGTTGATGCACACGTACAAAATCTAGAAATCACTCTAAATAGGACTAAAACATAGAAAAAAGTACTAAAATAAGACTTCTATGTTTTTTCCTGAAACAGGACTTTGCACTGTGGTAATTTGACTTTGCCCTGTTGTAATGTGGCAGTGTACATGTGCAAATTACTATACTTGTTTGGTAATGTATATGACCATGTATGGTAATGTAAGTCCTATTTCGGGAATAAAAACATAGAAGGCTTATTTTGGTATGTTTTTAATGTTTTAGTCCTGCTTTGATCTTTCTCCCTACAAAATAAGATACAAACTCTTGTGGTACAAGTAGCATTATCCTAAAAAAAGACCAACATCATCTGAGTGCTTTCTCAAGACCGATCAGACGGTTGCAGAAAAGAGATAAATTAGACTTTGATTACAGACTAGTGTCAAATAGTGGAGCCTAAATCTACTACTTGCAGAAGTCGCTTTCTATTTAGGATTGTTGTTTCTCGATGTACTTGACATGAATCGAACTCGAGTCTTACCATTTACCCTCATTGCCTTAATGCCTTTGTTTACTGCATAACGCCCACATGTGTACTATGTATAGTAGAATTTGATTCATCGCGAGAATTTGAGGACTCTCCCTGAAAAACCCTACCCTCCCTAAAAAAAAACCCTACTCATTTACTCCATACGCCCCTAAGGCCTAAACTCCATCTTATACTCCTTCCGTCCCCATTTTTATTACAATTTTTTTCTCTTTCATCTCGATAACTTTTATTTGTTTACGCGATTTCATTAAGTATTTGATAAAATAAAATATTCTTGTCACCTTTTGTTTTGTAGAACTTTTGACGTAGTTTTTTAATAAATAATTTTTATTTCTTATCGATATACTACCTCCGTCCCAGAGTATTTGTCCACTTTCGTTTTTACACATCATCCAATACACTTCTTTAATCCATTTTATCTTGTAATTTGTATATTAAAAAATTATAGAAATTATATATTAATAATCTATATGTTAAGACAAATCAAACACGATCACACATGACTATATTTAGGCTTATGCATTGAGAGAATTTGATGAGTCAAAGTGCTTAGATTAACAGTTCCAAAAGTCAAAACTTGACGAATACTCTGGAACGGAGGGAGTACTAATTTGTAAATAAAATGATTTCAAAAAGTAAGATATTTTCTCTTCGTAAACCCCAATTTGTAATCAAATTTGTAAAACCCCCAAATTTTTAAATTTTTATAATGTTCTTAATTTTTTTTTGAAAAAAAATTAAAATATATACGATTATATTGCATCTGTATGTCTCAAATTAATAATTTTTATTTTTTGTTTTCCAAAATAAAATAGTAAAAACATTTTTTGACAACTTCAAAATATGAATAATAAAATAAGAAATATAATAAAACAAAAAATAAAAATGAATATCCTTTTTGGACATCAAAATTTTATAGACTTTTGAGTCGTTCTGAAAATTCCTTTTTGTAAAAGACTTTTTTGCATGTTTCAATTTTTTTTCATTTCATTTTTTCATAATTTTATTTTTATTCTGAATTTTCTTTCGGAACTTACCAAAAAAATATTCTAGAAAACAAAATGTGAAAATGTTTAATTTGAGATAGATCGAGTATATGTTTTTTATTTTTATTTTTATTTCAAAAACCAAAAATTTTGGTTTTTAAAAATGTTATAAAATTGAAAAAAATTAAAAAAATTTCAAAGAAAAGGAAACAAATAGATAAAAAAGAGTAAAGAAAAAGAAAAAAAACCAAATAATAAACAATAAATAAGAAATGAGCATGAGTGTCCCCATGGTTTAAAAAATAGACACCAATACCCCTCTTTGCTTGAAAATGACTGGAAAATGATCAGAGAGGTGTGAGTGCAACATTTTGAAACTACAAAAATTTTAAAAATAAGTTTTGAAAAAAGAGTGGATATTGATGCGAATTTTCTAAAGCTCAAGGAGCAGTAGAGCTATTTGACCTATAAAAATTTACTAAATTTGTAAACGTAAACATAAAATTTTGGTTAAATCGTGCATTTGGCAAAACTCTATAAACGAAATAATATTCCTCCACTCCCTAAGAATCTATAAAAAAAAATGATATTTCAGAATATATTTTTCTCTCAGCATAAACCTCCAGATACGATTTCATTTTTCCTTAATTTCTATAAAAGTTAAATCAAAACATTTATTTTACTCCATTCGTTCTAAAAAGTTCTCGTTTTTGTTTAAGAGGTCTGACCAACTTTATTTTTAATTTAATTTATTTGATCGTAGATGTAAAATTAAAAAAAATATATGTTTAAAAACTACTCCATCCGTCCTGCTATATTCGTCCATTTTTGACTTTTGGAACTGTTCATTTAAGAACTTTGACTCATCAAATTCTCTCAATGTGTAAGCCTAAATATAGTCACGTGTGATCTTGTTTGATTTGTCTTAACATATAGATTATTAATATATAATTTCTATAATTTTTTAATATACAAATTACAAGATAAAATGGATTAAAGAAGTGTATTGGATGTTGTATAAAAATGAAAGTGGACAAATACTCTGAGACGGAGGTAGTACATCAAAAGTTCTACAAAACAAAAAGTGATAAGAATATACTCCCTCCGTCCCGGAAAACATGGGAGTTTTGATTTTGAAGAGGGATTTAAGGAGAGTGTATTTTGGTATTGAATTTCCAAAAATGTCCTTTGATATGATGGGTAAAAGTATAATTTGATGGATAGATTATTAGTAAAAAGGTATGATGTGATAGGTAGGGTATGAAAAAGTAAGGGGTAAAAGTGACTTTTTAAAAGAAATGAGAAGTGTTTTTTGGGACGGATGAAAAAAGAAAGGAGAAATGTTTTCGGGATCTGAGGGAGTATTATTTTATCAAATATGGAGTAACTAACAAAAATAGGTAAAACAAAATGATTAAATTGTAAGTGAGAAGAACACTTTAAGACAGCAGGAAAAAGACTTAAAACATAGTAGTTCTTTCTTTAGAGAATATAAGAAACAAAATTTTGGGACCAAAATATGAATTAAAATGACTTATCTTGAGATAGGTAGAATGAAATACAGTAATCAGTAATTTATTTACTCACGGTATTTATTCATTTTTATATAAAGCTTCACCACCGCTCCCAACTCCGTCTGTGATGGTTTGTCCCTTTTTTTAATCAAATCTCTCAATCTCTCCCTTATACGCACACTTCGTGTTCTTGTTTGTGTCGCTGGAGAAATCAGGATTCCGGTCTCCTACACTTTTGAGTTTCTAATTTTGTGGCCGGGAAATCAAGAATCCGGCACCCTACATCCGAGAGCCATACGCCCGTATATATACCCTCCGTTTGTATTTAGATTGTTTTTTTGGGTAGGGGTGATGCTAAATGGCGAAGGGTCGGAAATTAACGGCGAGCCGGAGCGAGAGGTTCTTGGGCGGCTATAGCGGTGGCCGGGGAGCATTGAACGATGCATCGGAGTTTGTGGAGGACGACGTGTGGGGTACTGTCGATGAAACGGCCAACGGGGACAGTGGTCCCGACGATGGTTTGACTGGAGACTGGACCCTACGCGCCGACGTCCCGGAGGTTAACGGGACCTACGATAGCCGGCGGCAGATCCCACGCGCCGACCGAAACCGCCGCCAAGTCGGCGGCTTGTCATTAGCTTTCGAAGATTCCGGCAGAACGGCGTCGTCACGGATCGTGCACCAGCACGGCATGGCGGCGTCGGGCGGCCGCCACATGGCTACCTCGGCCCCGGTCAACGTCCCGGATTGGTCCAAAATATACCGAGTCAACTCGGTGGAGTCACTGGTAGACTCGGACGAGGGGTTGGATGAAAATGGGACAGAAATAGTCCCGCCACACGAATACCTGGCGCGTGAATACGCACGCTCCCGGAATACAGCCACTAACTCGGTGTTTGAGGGCGTGGGAAGAAAACTGAAGGGACGCGACCTGAGCCGGGTTCGAGATGCGGTCTGGAGTCAAACCGGATTCTACGGTTAAAAACTGGAACCGGGTTCGTCTTCAGATTTCACGCGATCGAAATCAGTTATTGGCAATTATTAGTTGGGGTAAAAATTTGGATTGAACATTAATTAGTATTTACTCTTATTATTGTTTTAATGTTAAATTATGTCCAAAGAAAAATCTTGTGGTGGGTTTTTCTGGTCACAAAAAAAAAAGAAAAAAGAAATGAACTGGGTTCAACTAGGGGAAAGCAATGGCCAGAGCAAGCTGTACTTGATTTGTATTTATTCGGTCAATTTTTTAACTGCATTTTTTTTGTTGGTGGAAAAATAGTTCGTGGTAAATTTGGGGAGCAAAGTGTGATATTTAATAGTAAGGCGCACCTATATTGAAAGTGATTTATGGGCCAAGTTTGGGAGTTCTATCAATTGAATTAAAAGGATCGATACAAAATCATACTCATTCCCTTTCATCGGTCCAAAAGGTGGAATCGCCCACCCCAGACGCCCCCACCCCCTTGCCCGACAGGAATGGTGGAGGAAGTAAATCATGGTGACTCAGTTGGTCAAGAACGCTAGACCCGTGCCCACCGCGCACAAGGAGCCTCCTCACCCTTTATGGGATTTTTGGATAGCTCCCACACTGCCGCTTGCGGGACTCGATCCCTGGTCATCGGTCCAAGATTTCACGCTCTTGACCAACTGAGCTGCCCATGCGGGCTACTCATTCCCTTTCATATTTGGATAGTACGTAGTATACTCTAAATAATGTATAAAATTTTACTCTTCTATCTCTAAATATTTACGGAGTATTACATTTCAAAAATGAAGTAAAATATTAAGTTTTTAAAATTTATTTTATTTAAACATTGGTATAGATATAAAAATACAATTTAAATATTTAAAAATTGCACGAAAAATTCTTTAAGATAAGGGGTGTCAAGAGTATTTTATTTTATCAAATAATAAATGAAAACGTACAAGTAAATAAAAGTTTCTGTAACTGTTGAAAAAGCAAATGTAGCAAACATTTTGGGACGGAGGGAGTATTATTTTTAAAATTATATTAATTACAAATTAGTATAAAATTGAAAATATAAATTATACCATTTACAAGTACCTTAAAGATTTTATAAAATAGAAAGTGACAAAAATATTTTATTTTATCAAATTATTAATGAAAATATACAAAAAAATAAAAAAATTCGAGAACTCGTAATAGTGATAGTGATTTTCATTTTGGGACAGAGTGAGTAATGTATTAAGTTTTTTTTAAATTACTACCGTCGTTCTAAAACTCTATTTTTGTTTCAATTTTAAAGTTTAATTAGAGTTATTTTCAATCCAATTTATTTAATTAATAGTGTAAATTTAAAAATAAAAAATATATATTTAAAAACAACATCAAAAAATTTTATAAAATAATTATTGACATGACTATATTATTTTACGAAACAAATAACAAAATAGGTAAAGGAAGAAACTAGAATTTAACCGCGTGAATAAAGATTGGAATGAAAAATTTAAGAAAGAGGAAGAAATAAAAATTATACTTCATGGTGGAATAATAAGACAACAGATTAATAACTCGTGATGCCTTTTACATATTTGGAGAGTCCAATTACTACAGCCAGATTGAAATGCGAAGACTGTGATGCCTTGATCAACAAACTGCTGCTAAAATAACAGCTTGGGGATCTAGGCATTTCTCTTATGTTACTAGGATCAAGCGGATTAACTTATTATTGATGGGGGTGGTTTACATAGGTCTAGAATATTTATTTTACCCAAAGGTGTAATGATTAAGATTATGAACATATTTAGAAATTTCTTACGAAATGGTTCATTTGAATATAAGAAGGTTCTGTTGGTCCATTGGGATGGTGTTTGCAAATTGCAACTGAAAAAACATGGTGGGTTGGGACTTGGGAATCAAGAATATTCTCCATTGGAATTATGTTGCAATCATGAAATTAAATTGGGATATAAATGAGAAAAAAGATATCCTACGAGCAAAATGGATCCATGCCGGGTACATTAAAGTATGTGATTTCTGAAATTATTTTCCTGAACTTGACTTATGCTTTCATTAGAGAGAAATGGTTATGGTTAGAAAAAAGTTTGGAGATGTGCCTAGAGGGAAAGCTTTTAATGTTAGGTCTGGATATGTATGGTTGCAAGGGGAGAAGCCAAGACCTAATTGGAGAGACTAGGCATGGAACAAATTCACACCTCACAAGTTTCAAATTATCTTTTGACTATTTTGGGGAGGGAAATTGCAAACAAAGGACATAATCAACAAGTTCTTAGATATTAATGTAAATTGTGTGGGAAGGAGATTGAAACTAGGCAACACCTCTTCAGGGAATGTGACTTTGCGCAAGAAATATGTAGAGCAGTGTGGGGGGGAATTTCAAATGCAGATCAATGCCAAAATATTGATGCTGTTTGGGATAAAATTCAAAAAACAAAGAGTGATAAAATGAGGAAGATTTGGATAGCTATATGGGTAGCTAGCATATATTACATTTGGAAGACAAGGAATGAGGCTATGCATCAAAAGAGAAGGAAGATGGAATGAAGATCTCATCAATCATATCGTTTTCTATATTTAAAGTAATCTTATTTTCAGGAAAGGCACTCAGGCTCCGTCCCGTTCAACTTATTTTTTCTGATCTGATCTGATTTTAATAAGTTCTGATCTGATCTGATCTGATTGGATCTGATTTGATCTGATCTGATCTGTTGGATCTGATCTGATCATCTGATTGGATCTGGTCTGATCTGGTCTGATCTGATTAATTATGATTTAATTTAAAATTTCAAATCAATAATTTGATTTGACTTTATAATAATGTTTGAAAATTGTAATGATAATTTATATTATAATATAATCAATATTATTTATTTAATGATTATTTTTTAATAAAATAAAAATAGTAAATTCATATATTAGAATAATCATTCATATTATAATGTAATAATATTTTTTATTTTATGATTATTTTTTTGTGAAATTAGAATATTAATTTAATATTTTAATAATTACTTCATATATACATTAGAATAAATATTTAATTTAGATATACATTAAAAAGTATCAATAAAAATATATTTTAAAAGTAGAATTAGATTGACATTGTCAATGTATTTTAAAACTAATTTTTCCGACGTCTAATAATTAAAAATTACTTTCTCAGTTTTCTATTTAACCTATTTCTAAAGTTTATTTTTTTCATTTTTAAGAACAACAACAACAATAATGATGATGATGATGATGATGATGATTATAATAATAATAATAATAATAATAATAATAATAATAATAATTCTTGATAAGATCTGATTTTAATAAGTCCTGATCTGATTGGATCTGATCTGATCTGATTGGATTTGATTTGATCTGATTGGATCTGATCTGATCTGATTGGTTCTGATCTGATCTGATTGGATCTGATCTGATTCGATCTGATCTGATCTGATCTGGTCTGATTTTAATAAGAATAAGAAAAAATAAGAAGAAAATAAGAAAAAATAAGTTGAACGGAACGGGGCCTCCGTCATATATTACCTCTTATTTTGAAAAACTTTTGATGTACTTTTTAAATTTGAAACTTTTATTTTTTATTTATATTCCATTCTTTAAATAAAATAAGCAGAAAAAACTTAAATTTACTTCGTTCGTGAGTAAATGATTTAGGGACGGAAAACAATAAGCTCCTCTCCCTTGGCACAATTTTATGTAACAAAATAAATTTTATTTAAAATATATAAGAGGCTTTTTCACCAAAGATATCAAAACTTTAAATGTTGTAATAAAATGTCAAAAAGGTACCCATCTCATGTTGGTAACAAAACTATGCCACATCTTTAAGAATTAAGGGGAAATGAAATGGGAATAAGATGATGTGGAAGAGGAAGCAAAAGAAGAATGATTAGAGAGTTAAGAGGAATAGAAGACAAAGAATAAGATAGGGGAATATTATTCCTCTTGAGAGAAAAATTATTTTATTAATGCTTTGCATTTTTCATTTTTTGTGTACTAATGATTGGATGATAAGTGTAAAAAATATACTACTTCTGTCATAGAGCATTCGCTGAGTTTGACATTTTTGAGTCAAATTGGATAAATTTTTAGCATTAATTAAGTAAATACTATAATGTATATTAGTATAAAAATAATTTTAATATCTCTAACTTGTTTTGAACTTTCAAAAATTTATTCTATTGTATTAATACGCAATACAAGTTTAGAGTAATAGATGATTAAAATTTATCCAGTTTGACTCAAAAAGTTAAACTGAACGAATACTCTGAGAGAAAAGGAGTAGTAATATAAGTAGATTAGAGTAGGCCACTCAGGGGCGGATCCACCTTTAGGGAGTAGGGGTCAAATGCCCCCGACTAATAATTGGTAATAAGGTAAAAAAGAATAATAAATTAAAAATTTATATATAGATGTCCCCAACAAAAATTAATGTGCCCCCATTTAATCATGTCAAATTTATTTTTTTGTTTAATTTTTTAGTAAAGTGTATTTTATTGCATATAATTATTTCTGTATAAAATAAAATTTCACATTGCCTATTAAAAATGGTTTACATTTAATAAATGTTTGAAGCAAAAATCATCATTTATTTATGTTTTGTCATTTCAAATAGCCTATAAAAAAATTCAGAAACGCCCCTCTGGACCCGACCAATGGTGCCCCCATCTAATTGAATTTTTGGATCCGCCACTCAGTAGGGTGAGAAATATTTGAGAGGAAAATGATGTGACATTAGAAATGAGTGATGTATGAGAGGAATAAAGCAAAATGAGTAGTGATGCTTTACAAAGTGATACCCTCTGATTGAATTTGTCATATTACGACAACGAAGTGATAAGTTGGCATCTTACGAGACATAATAAATAAAAAGTAATAATACCTCCTCTGAAATTTATTTGAATTAAAAATAAAAAAAGGATGGCCCTATGCTTAATATAGTATAGTTGCCTCCAGTGCAGTTGCCAAGAATTGAACTCTAGTCTTAATCCATTGGCACCCTTTGCATTGCCAACTGCGCAACGCCCACTGACTTAAAAAAAATTAGTCAAATAAAGAACGATCACTTAGACGGAATTTAATGCACCCCACCAATAAAAAACGATCTTTTAATAGTGGATTAGTGGGTAGGTACTCTATATGCATCCTGGAAAAGGAATGGAGACTATAATCCCTTTTTAGTGATAATTAGCTAAATCCCATCGAACCCATTGGAAAAAAGAAGCTTAAACAGTTAAACCAATTTAGTGGGGTCTTGACACAGAAATGGCCAGCTGTTCCTTCTTACTGCTCTCGTCCCCACACCCCTTCCCTTCCTCTATGGAACGCCTTATTCATCGTGGCTTC